TTTTACCTTTTTTTTACAAGGTGGAAGTGCATTCGGCTTCTTCCCGGTAGGTACTTGTTACATCCACACTAGATCAGCTGAGCGACGTTGGTCGCCTAGATCCAGGCCCGTAATGAAACAAATTGTACGTTCAAATTTACAAAAACGATTTGCGAGCTCAATTGTCACTGGATTGAAAAATTGTATAACACTTTTTTGTTGTATTTTGTGTCAGGAAGCCATGTTTTTTTTTTAATTATTATAACTGGGACACCCTGTATGTATCACAGTATAAAGGGTTCATTTCCCAGCCACGCCTATACATCCCTCTCCAGTCGACACTTTTTTTACACAATTTAATTTATGAGTTCACCGCTAAGTAGGGACTGACTTACACAAAGTGTCATTGTGAAGCCGGAGTACATTTTGTATTTAAACACTTTGGTAAAACTATTGAACCGTCCTTATGTATGACAGTTCAGCGCACGTAAAGTCAACTCATGATGATCTGCCAAAAATGTCGCTATTTGAGGCAAATCAAACAAGTGAACCTACAGTTAAAACGTACGATGTTTGAATGGAGTTTTAAAAAACACTTTGTTTTAACTTTATTTGGTTCGGTTTTCAGAAACCGTTATTACACTTTATTTTTTTAACTATTTACACTCTAAAGATGGCAAATGAACAATTAACGTAGGTTTTACTTTCAGAGTGTTAATCAGATAGGAAATGTATGAGCTTATATACTAATTAGAAGTGTCATGACCGGTGGTGTGATCCATAGGTAGGGGCAAAGGTCGCCGGATGTAACTCCGCCTCCCTTAGGATAAAAGACATCCTCCTCTTCAAATGATCACAGAGCAAAGGGGTGCTGGAGATGTTTTCAACTTTTTGAGTTCCTTGCCAGTGTCTTTGTCCTTTTTGGGTTTATTAGACTTGAATAGTATCACGAACGAGAGGGTCGTGATGGTGGCATAAGATGCGAAGGTCAGCTGCTGTAGATGGACTGAAGTTTTTTCGATCTTATGCAGCAATGTTGTCATTTCTCAGTGGTCTTGAGGGTAATTGTTGAGTTTCAGAAACATTTATTTTAGAGTCTCATGGTCAATAAGGTAAGAGCTATCTTTGTAGTCCTTGTTTCTTCTTAATGATGTACAGTAAATTATAGGAGCCTTGAACAAATTTGTGACATTGTCTCAATTTGGTTAGCAGAAAAGTATTGGAGATTACTGACGACAGTATAATCGCCATACCATAGGGTAAAGGATTCATATTGAGGTTATATTAAGGGGTAAATTAATTTGAATATGATAGGAAAATTAAATATTAACAAAAAATGGTTTATTTATTGAATTTCAATCAATTTAATGGCTCTTCATTATCTGTAGATAGAAATGGTTTTTTCATAATATAGAAAAAGTGATTGATCTCTTCAAAAGTTACAAATAGTTGAACTTGCAGTTCACTTTCTGAAGAGTACCCGTAGCAACTAAACGCATGAATGACTCATCACAATTTTCTTGAATACTGTCAATGAAATATTAGATATGTGATGAGCAAATGACATTTTTCATGATAGCGTAAAGTTAATAAAGTAAGTAAAGTAATGAAATTGGGAAAATATGTAATATGGGTACTGTCGAAATTTTTTGATCAAAGATAATGTTGCTATCTAGTCTCGGCTTGTGTCAGGTTGAGGAGAAGGGTGTCTTCGTCATCCCGCAATAAAACATCTATTCTCGCCCTTCTAGTGTTACGAAGCGGAATTTTTCTAATTCTTGCTTGTCCTGCCACATTCCTTGGATTCTGTCATCTGTTTGGTTAATTTTGGTCGTTCTTTGAAATTTAGGGGCCATTTTAGATTTGCCAGATGCTTTGGTGTAAATTGCTTTAGGTAATTCAGGATAGGGTCACATTGTTGATTAATATTGTCTAGGGCTTTTTGGTTTCTGTCTAAATTTCGATTTTTAACTTATTCATATAATACTGTCATTTTTTTAATTCTGTTGTGTATGTAATTGCTGGGGTTGTTGAACTCTGGGGGTTCCGAGTACGTTATGTCTTTATAGGGTCCATGAATTATTTGAAAAGGTCTAAATTTGGTAGTAGATTGAATTGAATTGTACATAAAAATAGATTGTATCATTAAATTTGGAATAGTCTCATCAGGGTAGGTTTGTTTCAAAATTGTTAATTTTTCTTTTAGTGTGCCGTGAATTCTTTCAAGCGGGCTGATAGTAGTTGGGTTGCCCGTGCTTGCGAAATGTAAGTCAATGTGATAGAGTTTCCAAAGTCTTTGAGATGGGGGTTGTTCTGTCCCCATGTCAACTAAAATTTTGCGTGGAAGATTATGATGGTTAATGAAATGTCTTAATTTATAAACTATGGTAATACCATTTTTATCCGTTATGTAATAAGCTTGCATATATTTACCGAAATGGTCGAAAAATATAAAAAATGTATTGTTTTCAATTGTAAATAAGTCCATCATTATTATTTCAAACGGTTTTGATGTTACTACGGGTCCTTTATATGGTGGTTAATAAGGGTTTCGTTAATATTTAGATTTTAAACATACATCGCATTTATTGATGTAAAATGCAATTAATTTCTTTAAATTTGGATAATAAAATTTTGTTCTGAAATGGGAATGGTCTCTTCAATTT